CGCTATGAGTCGGTTCCGACTTGATGGCACCTGACAACAACAACAACAACCCTGACCAGGAGCCCCTGTAATGCTGCTGTAAGATACGCCCTGGGCTTGTAACCACAAGATTAGCAGTTCAAACCCACCAGCTGCTCTTAGAGTCCCTACTCAGGGTCACTATGAGTCAGAACCCAACAACAAACCTAACCAGAATCTTTATTATTGCTTTAGAGTTTTAAATCTGACAGCTTTTTGCCTGCCAATGGCTCCAGCCAGGCAGAGCTTAGCTCCGTCTTAGTCCTCCATTCAATTTTCAGATGGTGATTTATCTTGAGAACCCCATGCACCTCTGACGGCCAAGCTGCTAAAGTCAGAGCAGAGTGTATTTGACACCGAGGGTCTTGTGACACTTGCTCAGCTCAAGGTCTTAAACATGGAATTAATTAATTAGTACAGCTTATTTTAGTTTACTTGTTCTTTGCCCATTGATGTTGTATAGATAACTACTACCTTTTCTCCCAGAACTGTCTTCCCCACATTTCATTTCTTTCATGCTGTTTAGACAGATTTATGGAACTCACTTAATATTTTAGGAACAGTGTTTAAGAACTACCTTTTGGTTTAATACCAACACATAAACAAGGGGTATCTTGTGAGGGGAATCTTGTGAGGTGATGGGACTGTACTGAAGTAGATGGAAATCTGAAGGTGAAGAGATTCAGGTGGTTGAGAAGTTAGTGCAGCAGTGTGCTTACATCTGACCAAATCCGGGTTATGATTCAAGCTTAAGGGTCTGAACTTTTGCCCAGAGTTCCGAACTTCCCTTTCTCTCATTTTCTGTCAGCACTTTTTAACATTAGCATGCCTTTTCTCTTCTTAATTATTTTGATTCTACTTTCTCAAAAAGAAATGTAATTATTTTCAAGGATGTTGTTAAGTGCTATTAAGTCACTTCTGACTCATAATGACCCTGTGTAGGGTTTCTGAAGAGAAGCCGGTGGGTTTGAACCAGTGACCTTGCAATTAGCAATCCAGTGCTTTTCCTACATTGCTAATGACCATACCCAAAAGCTACATGTTGGCTTTGCTTACAGTTAGAGTTCAGTGGTTCTAGGAGTTTATGGTGTTTTCCTTTTATGCCTTTGTTGCTCTGTCCAAATGCACAACTTATGTATGTGTCATCAGCCTGTGTGTGTACGATCATTACTGAACTGCTAATCCACAGGTCAGGGGTACAAACCTACCAGCCACTCCTCAAAAACCCTATACAGGGTTGCTATGAATCAGGACCAGCTGACAGCACTTAACAACAGCTATCATTTTACAACAAAACTTAATATGCTACTACCCCAATCTCTTACTGATGGTGTTACCTCTGTAATTGTCTGTATTCTTACACTAATACCGACCTAATTTTACTCTCCCCTAGACCAGGGATTCTAAAACGGTTCCTACTTGTTTATCATCACAGTAGTAAACAGCTAGCAAAACTTGATGACAGTTTTATTTCCAGGTTGGTAATGAAAGTTGCCTCTCTTTGCTTCCTGTAGTAGACATTTATTTAGAACCTTGC